CGTCTTTGCGCGAATGTTTCCGTGTCTTCCGTGGGGATGGAGAGGCTCGGCCGATCCGGGCTGACGGCACAGGGAAAACGTCAGCAGGAGGGTCCTGTGTGGAAAGGGTGGCAGAAGATACAGGGGAACTGTTATTACCTCGTGAGAAGGTAGTACAGGGAGCTGCCAGCAAGAGGGAGAGCGAATTCGTGGCCCAGGCGGAAGCGGAAGAAGCAGCTCGTGGCCAAGCGTTAGGGTCACAGCAAGAATTAGTCAGAGAATGTGGATGGACCTGTCTGGTCAGTTCGGCCAGCCCTGCTGCTCTCAGCCTCTGCTAGCCTCCCAGGGTCAGCTCTTAGCTGCCTCCAGCAGCCGCTAAAGGCCGCTGCCAGAAGGCACCGTTGGAGGTACGGGATGCTGCCAGGTGCCCTGCCTTTGCTTCTCGCCCTTCTGCGCCACCGCACTTCTAGGTTATCACGAGATCATCCTCTACCTAGTCTCACAGGTTCGCCGATCAAAAGACTCCTCGCCGATGTCACTTAAGTATTCATTGCACTAAAAACGTAGAAGTTTGTTGACTGACGTTTCTGTAACTACAGGAATTCCATTCTCAATTTAGCATCATTCACATACCGAGTGTGCCCGAGAGCGTGTGGCTTTCTTGAAAGATAATAATAGTGAAACGCTCTCATTCATGCTGGTGCCTGAAAAAAGTGACACGTGCCTATAAAATGCTGGTAGGTTATAGGCAATAATGAATCAGTGGAGTCTGTTCCAGGGGAGCTTTAATTAAGCCATTACAGCGGTGGGTGGCCCGTATTTATAAACATAACACTTCGGCATCAGTGCAGCAATTTACTGGTTACCTGTAGCTGGGGGTTGGAGCGCAGGTGAATTACACTCCAAATTGTAAGATTAGAAAATAGGTTTTGTGCCCAGTTACAGATTTGGTGGCCCAAAACTCAGATGTCCTAGTCATGCTGAGCCCATTAGAAATCGGTGATTGGTCCTGGTGGGAACAGCAGCAAGAAGCAGCACCCTTCCAGCGCTGTTAAAATGCCGCAGCTCTTAAACAAGCTCCCAGACTGCTACTGCCTGGCCCAGGCGTCCTCAGCTGCCACGCAACAAGTTTTCAGTTCACTGAGCATAAGAAAGAATTCTCTCTAATTACCACGTCACCCAGCCTTTCTTCTCCTCCTTCCTCATTGCCAGAAGTGTCATTTCTATGTAATTTATTGGCCTAGTTTTTATACGTTATTGTTCACTTGCTCGCCAGTATTCTCTTATCTCACTGGAGTGACATCATCCTAGTATAAAGACTCAAAAATGTATTGTTTTTACTGAATTGTACAGCAGGCAGCATGTGGTAAGCGGGCAGCAGTGCAGTATCTTACACGAGTGTGTTCTCTGTCTTTGCAGGCACTACGAGGGCTCCCAGAGATGGGGAGGTCCCTGGGGTAGACTATAATTTCATTCCCGTTGAGCAGTTCAAAGCACTGGAGGAAAGCGGAGCGTTGCTCGAAAGTGGAACGTATGATGGTAGGTTGACGGCGTTTAATGGGGTGGGAATAAGCACCCAGAACTCCTGTCCAGTGCTTTGGTCCAAGTGTAGCTCCCTGTACCCAGGAGCTGCCACTTTTCCTGCCCACTGATGGTCACTACACGAGTAGAGGGGCGATATTGGATCTGGTTTTGGAGTACCTGTGAAGAGCAGTGGTCCTGTCCTCAGGTCTTTGGTAGAATCATGAGTCCCAGTGCAATCTGATTATTTTCCCTATGGCGTTCCTGAAGCAGCATTCTGGAAATGTTTGCGCTTGGCAGATTTATTTTAAATGGAATTCAGTCAGTTCTGTTCAAACCTCTGAGAACAGAGCCGTGTTCTTCTCTGAGGTGCACGTCACAATGACAGAAGGCAAGGGAAATCCGGATCCAGCAGGGAAAAAAAAGTATTTTGCAATGAAAAGCTCAACAGCGCTAGAGCAGATTGTCCGAATCTGCAGCAGCGTTGGTTTGGGTGAATCCAAATCTGCAGCAGCGTTGGTTTGGGTGAATCCAAATCTGCAGCAGCGTTGGTTTGGGTAGTGTGAGGGTGAAGAGCCTTGTGATGAAGGTGAACTGTTAGCCAGAGGAGTCGTGGGGCTGCCCCCATGTGATGGGCTTTTGCTTTGCTTTGGTTTAAAGGGTGTGATGGTGGTCAGAGATAACTTTAAGGTTCCCTGTACTTGGGAGGTGGGTCAGACCGAAACCCACTGTTTTTAAGTGAGAGGGAGGAGAGACCAGCTTGGCTGGCTCGGCCCGGGTGCCCCGCACTCCCGAGGAGCAGGACCAGCGTGCAGCTGGGTTGCGAGTGGTGATGGCCAGGCTGCCTCTTGCTCTTGAAGGGCTTAGGGCACTGTGAGCAGACGAGACTGCAAACATCTCCCATGGCTGTTTGGATCTACTGACTCTGTTTTTCAAGTCTGTAGTTGTGCTGGAAGTCAACTGAATTACAGCCAAAGTTTCAGAAATGCTCAGCACATGCAGCTTTCGTTGATGCTCCCCAGAATTCACCCGATTATGAACCTGCCTGATCTTTACACGAGTTGAACACACGTTTGATTCAAGCAGCTCGAAGCAGGCAGCTAGAGCACTTACTTGGTGGGTGCTGGTTTTACTGCCACCTGAATGAATTTGACTGATCTCCTCCCCTTCAGAAAAAATACCTCCCCAGAGCAGAAACCCCTGTGAGAGGCTCTGAAGTCCTTGTTTTCCATGCCCTGTGCTGTCTGTTAACTTTATCCCGTCTTTGGAAATCTCCTGAGCAAATTTAGACTAAGTTAGCACTTTCTTTTTTCCCCAGCTCCCCTTTTTTTGGCGTCAGCACGTGGAGCCTCGCCCTCACCCGTATTTCCTAAAGGGTTTCTTACGCATTTTTTTTACATGGCCAAAACCATCTGAAGTCCTTGTTTTCCATGCCCTGTGCTGTCTGTTAACTTTATCCCGTCTTTGGAAATCTCCTGAGCAAATTTAGACTAAGTTAGCACTTTCTTTTTTCCCCAGCTCCCCTTTTTTTGGCGTCAGCACGTGGAGCCTCGCCCTCACCCGTATTTCCTAAAGGGTTTCTTACGCATTTTTTTTACATGGCCAAAACCATATCC